GACCTGACCTGATTTCTCTATCCCTCCTGTCCCTCCCGTCCCTCCCGTTCTCTCTGCCTGAGCATTTCAGCTGCCTCTGAGGTCAGTGAGAAGGTGTTATTGGAGTGAAAGGGCTTTGAAGTCTGGATAAATGAGATAATAAATCTCTGCTCTTCAGGGATGCAGGACAATGTCTGTACCTACAGAATGGCCTCAACAGTGCTGTGTACATAGTAACTAAATTAATATGAAATAAGAACAACAAATCCAGTGGCCAAAGTGATCCCTCTGAAGTCCAGGCCACCTGTGAGCCATCTGAGGAGAAGGAATGGAGCGGGTAACTGAAATTCACAGATAATCCCCAAACCTCACCTTAAGAGTTAGTAGCTTCAGGCTTTACCTATTAAACCCGTTCTTACAACTGCTAAAACAAATCCCCTACTTTTATTTACTTTTTCATTTTGGGGGAGCAGGTGAAATTGAGCAGTCAACTGGCCACTAGGAAGGTGGCAGGAGGCGGAATCATGAGTCCTGGTGAGACGTCTAGAGAAGTCTCATAAGCAGCTTCTGAATCACAAAGTGTCGAGGCTGCCAAAGGGCCTGGCCAGTCGTGGACCTGGAGACTTAAGAGTGTGTCTCCCTAAGGGCTCCTCCTGACCTGGGTGGGGCGAGGGCAAGGCTCTAGGAAAAGAGGCCAAATGACTCTCAGTCTATAGCCGTCTGGCCAGAGATGCCCCGGCTTTTTCTTTGGGATTATTCGTCTACTCCAGCCTTTAGGGTGTGACATCGTGTTCCATTCCATGGGAGGGGAGGCCAAATGACTCTCAGTCTATAGCCGTCTGGCCAGAGATGCCCCGGCTTTTTCTTTGGGGTTATTCGTCTACCCCAGCCTTTAGGGTGTGACATCGTGTTCCATTCCATGGGAGGATCTGGGTGCATTTTAGTGAAAACAAGTGATGTCATCACATCCCCACTGACAAAGGAAAAAAAGACCCACTCTGTGCTGGTAGGCCCAGTCCTGGGCAGTGAGATCAGGACACCTGGGCCCTTACCTGGCTTTGTTTTGAGCTAGCTCTGTGACTCCGTGACCAGTGTCAGCTTTCTCTGCCACGGTTCCTCACTCTGCAACATGTAGGAGCTGGAATTTATGATTCTAAGACCGGGCCATCTCTGACTCTGAAAACAACTCTGTGAGCCTGAAGAATCAGCACCGCTGCTCCACGGGGGGAGTTCAGCAGGAAGTGGGGACAGATGGCTTTCTCTGGAGCGTGTTCAGAAATGTGGTGTGTGATGCACGGTGTGAATGAAGCACGGTGCTCTTTAAACCCAGCCTCCCCGGGACGGCTCGGCACTCTGCCGCACTCCCTGGCTCTCAGTCACATTCCACTGTCACCGGGCACCGGCAGCCCTCATGCACTTGTGCACTGGAGCACACACACACCCCACTCTGACACACGCTGGGTGACTCACAAATGACACGATCGTCACATACACGGGATGACTCAGCAGGGACGCTCACACACACAGGCTCACACTCACTGTGACGTGTGGATGTGTCTGTGCCCACAGTGTCAGGTGCTCCCATGGGAGCCTTGGTCGAGTATCTCACCGGCATCTGCAAGTGATTTGCATTCTTGGCTCTTTGGAACTGCCTGCTCTTTGTCTTTCTGTTCACTGTTCAACACTTTTCTTCCCGTCTGTCCCCTACTTGGCTGCTGTTGGTCTCTCGCTCCTAAGCTCCTCAGCCAGCTTCCTGAACTGAACTAGGCAATGTCCAAGGCCTTTGCCAACTCTGAAGTTCTTTGTTTCTAATAAGCTCCTCAACTGTGAAGCGTCCTTTCCCCATGAGCTCATCCCTTCCCTGGCCAGGGCATCTCTTCCTGCCTTCCTCGGAGGGTCCTGGCAGTAGGGCCTCCAATATCTGTGCCTTTTGAGCCAGCCCCTTTCCCAAGATGAGGGGACTGAGGCTGGGTCACATGATAGTGCTGGCTCCTTCTGGGGTATGGTCTTTGGCGACTCTGAGGGTGCCAATTCTCTTCCAGGCAGATGCAAGTGTTGGGGCTCCTGGAAAATCATGTCTAGGAGTTGAGCAGGACCAGCTTTTCCAGAAGAAGCAGAGAAAGGAAGGTGGTACCCAGCCCAGACATAAACGGCTGTGGGCTTTGGTTCTTGTGAAGGGCCTACCCCAGAGTGGGAACCAGGGTAGGGAGGAACATGCAGAGGAGATGGGCTTGCTGAGCATCGGAGTCTGCGCGTGGTCGGCACCGCCTGCCTTTGCCTAAATGTGGCTGCTGGCTATGGTTCAAATGGGAGCACAGGGGACAAGTCCTTGAGCCCCACGTGGAGTACAGCACCTATCTTTCCTCCTTCCCTTGGTGATCCCTCAAAAGTGAGAGCAGTGTAGCAGGATGGGATGCGGAGAGTGCAGGTGTGTGTCTGCCGTGGCTGTTCGTGGCTCTGTGGCCTGGGCGTGGCATTAACCATCTGAGTCTCTGTGTCCTCAGCTGTCAGGTGCCTAATAGCACCTTTCTGTCTGCTGAAGATGTGGTTGTGGGGATCAGGTGAGATAAGACATGACTGTGCTTTGACATATTAAAAGTGACACATCCAGCTAGATAGGAATAAGTCCTATTAGTGTGTAGTCTACCCAGAAATCTATAATTAACCATGATGTACTGCGTGTTACCAGACTAGCAGAGAGGAGATCAAATGTGCGCGTCACACAGAAATGATTGGGTTTTGCAACGATGAATATGCTAATTATCCTGATTAGATCAGCACACATTGCGCACATGTATTGAAATATAACTCTGTACCCCATAAATATGTACAATCAATATGTTTCAATAAATTTTTTTTAAAAAGTGACACACAAACCAGAGAATTCCAACAAGAGTGAGGGGCTGGAGGAAGAGTTGCGCACGCCGGGCCCTGAGGGTCCTTGAGGGAACGTGCAGGTTCCTCCCCTGGGCACAGGGTAAGTGCCTGTTGGGGCCCCACCGCTGGTCTAGGGCCCCCTGACAACAGCACCAAAGAGTCCCCGACGAAGACTTGTTAGGTCCCTGGTCTGGACCCAGACAGTGTTGAGCTGAGTGTTCTGGAGAAAGGAGAAGCGGGCCTTCCACGGTGTCCCCTCCAGGGCTGTGCCCCACTGTGACAAAGGTTCTTCGCTCAGCCAAACTTTACTCAGGATTCTGAACCTCCTCCAAGGCACATCTGCACACTTTCTTATAAAGTCCAGTTTTAGCAAAGCACCCTGCGAAGTCAGTCTAGCCAGAACCCCCGTCTTCAGTATCGGATCCCCCTCGACCTCTGATCAGTTCCTCATTCCCCATCTCCCTCAGGTGATGTCTGGCCACCCTGGCCTGTCTTCGGCAAGAATCCTTGAGGTCGGCTTAGACAGGATGCCCCTGACCCCTGACGCCTCTTCTCAGCGGTTTTCCATCCACTGACTCCCACTCTGCCCCCTGGCTCTAGATGCCCACTTGCCCGTGCTGTATTTGGAGTTGAGCCCAATCTCTGTCCCCCACTGCAAAACCCCGTTGTAGTGGCCCCTGTACCTGTCACAGTGGTCCTGAGTAAAGTCTTCCTGACTGCTTTAACAAACGTCATTGAATCACTTTTTTCTTAACCTAGGTAGGTGCTGGTCCAGTGACGCTGAGAACTGAGGGACATTCTCTGCCTAGAAACACGGGTGCTCCTAGCTCTGGGCACACTGCTTATGGCTGGGAATGAAGTGCCCTTTTCAGCTCTGAAGTTCTGAGTCTGGCAAGCCTTGAGAGCATTTTTTTCCTGCTACCTGTGTGAGGACCTTATCTTGGGCTGCGTTCTTTCCTCTGAAGGACTAGAATTTGGAGGGAACTACCTCTCCTTAGCAGACCCCCATCCTCAGTCTGTACCCTTTGAGTATCTTTAACTTTCTGCCTCACTTCAAAACCAGAAAAGGCTTCCTCAGCAAACATGCTTAGAGTGATTTCCAGCCAACTCCCCCCTTACAACTGATCTAGAATCGCTAAGATGATCCTGGAGATTCCCTGGCAAGCTCAGCAGGTCCCAGCCTGTTTCTGCCAAGACCCTAGCTCCCAATCCCTAAAGCGGAGAGGCTCCCGGCCCTCTGGATATTAATGACAGGGTTGATCTGAACACGCCATGAGCTTTCAGGGGGAGTATATGGAAGTTCCCTCACTAATTCCTGTGCTCTGCAAGTAGTCTTCCAGAGGTTGTATTGCAGCGGCTGGGAAAACAATACCATATTTAAATATGCATCGATGAGGAGGAGGACCCATCAAATATGTATGACGACGCACTGTAAACTGGCAAAGGCCCACAAGTGTCAGGTGTTGTTTGCACCTCTGTTCCAGACAAAGGGAAATCTAATGCAATGTTTATTTAACTCCTACATTAAACATTCAACGTACGTAGCACTTACTATGTGCCAGACACCAAACAGCATTTGACAATATTAATGGACTTTTTGTCAGACTCTTATGGGACAGGCACTCATCCCATGTTGCTGCGGAGGGCCCTGAGGAGGAAAGAGGTTGACTAACACACCGAAGGTGGCACAGCTGAGCCCACAGTCGTGGGCGTGGAATGCCCCCCAGGCCACCTGCGCTGGACAGTGAGCCTGGGACCCCAGCTCTCGGTCCACGGTGGAGAGCTCCTCCAACAGTGCCACGGGCCCTGGCTGGTTTTCTGGAGAGCCACAGGACTTCCTGACCTACTGGTGATGGGAACAGATGACTCTCAGGCGGGAGCTCTGCCTGTCACCTTGTTCAGGCCTGGCTCTCCTACGCGAGGCGTCGCCTTTGNTGTCAGACTCTTATGGGACAGGCACTCATCCCATGTTGCTGCGGAGGGCCCTGAGGAGGAAAGAGGTTGACTAACACACCGAAGGTGGCACAGCTGAGCCCACAGTCGTGGGCGTGGAATGCCACCCAGGCCACCTGCGCTGGACAGTGAGCCTGGGACCCCAGCTCTCGGTCCACGGTGGAGAGCTCCTCCAACAGTGCCACGCTCCCTGGCTGGTTTTCTGGAGAGCCACAGGACTTCCTGACCTACTGGTGATGGGAACAGATGACTCTCAGGCGGGAGCTCTGCCTGTCACCTTGTTCAGGCCTGGCTCTCCTACGCGAGGCGTCGCCTTTGTCCTGTCTCTTCCTGGGCTCCTCCTGGAGCGGCGTCTACAGAGAACGGAGCTGAGGCTGTCGCTCTTCCCCAGCTGCCCCCGGCTCTCTCCAGTGGGCCCCGGGGAGACCCTGCTCTTTCTTCCCGCCTCAGCCGTTGGGCCTCTTTTGGCGAGGCCCTAGTGGCTTCTCCTATTTACCCATGAACAATTAGGCTCTAGGCATTTCACATATAAACACAGAGAACATCAGCATCATTACACCAAGGATTTCAAAAGCTGTTTGGCAAGGCAGGGCTTGAATATTTACTTAACAAAAGAATTCCTAACTTCAGTCTTAAGAAAGAATTCACAATAGGATTTAAAAAGCCACCCTCTCCAGTAAATTAAAAACATTCTTTTACTCATTCAAAATACGATTTGTGTTGTTTAAATGTGACTCACACATAGCTCTTCAAGAGAACACTCACAACTTTCTTCCTGAGAACTCGGTTCCCACGTCGGCTTCCAGTATTTCTCACTTGTTGGGATAGTCCCTGTGCACATAGTGGGGGTGGAGCGAGCCTTAGGACCTGAAGGGCCACCATTAGAGACTCTGTCCTTTGTTTTAAGAGTGACTTCTGCAGATGGGTTTCCTTTATTACCCACGAACAGTGTATGTTCAGGGTAAAGACTCTTTATGAAGTGTTTCTTCTGTGACTAGGAGGACCTGTGTGAGCCTGTTAGAGTCCAGGGCCCTTGCGGGGAGGACAGAGGCGGGGAGAGAGAACACACCGGGGTGACTGGGGAGAGAACACACCGGGTGACTAGGGAGAGAGAACACACCGGGTGACTGGGGAGAGAGGACACACCGGGGTGACTGGGGAGAGAGGACACACTGGGGTGATTGGGGAGAGAACACACTGGGTGACTGGGGAGAGAGAACACACCGGGTGACTAGGGAGAGAGAACACACCGGGGTGACTGGGGAGAGAGAACACACCAGGTGACTGGGGAGAGAGAACACACCGGGGTGACTGGGGAGAGAGGACACACCACGGTGACTGGGGAGACAACACACCGGGTGACTGGGGAGAGAGGACACACCGGGTGACTGGGGAGAGAACACACCAGG